AGCGCCCAGCAGCCAGCAGTACCCCTTATGAGCCAGGTTTTCAGCAGAACTGTGCCCACTGGAATAACATCCTTTAGAGTAGTGTTTCCCAAACTTTTGCTACCTGGGGCACACTTTTCTTTCCAAATTAAAATTGGAGGCAGTGTTCACTCTTGCACCCTTTGTAATTCACTGCTGTAAAGATAGAAGTGTTTTGGAATCAAATCGTATTGAAAATCCGAGCCCTAGTACTCCATATGTGTATGTATATGTGTATTTTTCAAACCATATAACATATGGCTTCCCTGCCAGAGGAAATCATAACCGATACTGAGATGTACAGGTAAAAATAACACCACATACATTGTTCTTTAAGATATACCCATACTTCACAACCTCTTTAGCCTCAGGGCTGCCCTCCATAACATTTCTGCATGTTGTGGTGCCCCAGTAAAATCACTGAGAGAGATCTAAATTCAGAGAAGATATGGAGGGGGCCTGGAGGCTAAAAATATACTGAGAATTACTCATCTAGCTGGTGCTATTTAAGAGTGGCAGGGGCAGGAGCTCACCCTGCTCCATCTAGTGTCTGCCCTCTCCTGGCCCCTGGTTGGTATCTCAGGGGCCAGCAGGGTTACTCCTGCAGGATCTTACATGGCAGTGATTACACCTGTGAACCCTCCTGCTGTCCCTGGGAGCGTGGGAGGAGTGAAGGGGATGAGCCAGGCTGCAAAGCACAGCTCCCATCTATTCATCTGACCAGCCATTTGCCTGCTCACAGCAGAGCATGCTACTAGGAGTGTGTTTGGGGGGGAAGGAGGGTAGCATAGGGGCTGCCTGGAGGCAGGGATTGGTAGGGAAGGTAGCAGTAGTGACAGCAGTCTTCAGAGGAGCAGTTGCAGGCACTCCTGGAGTAGTTGGGACAGGTTTAGGGTGTCGGGTGGAGGAGAAGAGGATTTACCTTCTCACACAGGGGGATCTGAAAGCATGTTTCTGTTGCTCATGTGGCACACCAGTATGGCTTGGCACATCCTTTGGGAATCACTGCTTTAAAGTGTTTTGGAACCAAAGCCTTGGTTCATAAACCCCAGCCCTAGTACTCCATCCTGTGAGCCCCTGATCACTCCCGTCTCATTGGCCTGAGTACTGTGCAGGATTGGGCCTTTACTGCTGTTTCAGGGAGCCAGCCTGGCAGTCATAACTATGAGAGGACTTTCCACACTGCCTGCCCTGTTCAATAATGGGCCTGTTCAACTAGAGGTGTGGCAGGAATGGCTAGTACAAAGTATGATGCTGATTTTTGTGATGTGGGTGCTTTGGAAGGAGATCCTGTTTGTCTGTGTCCTATTCATCGAACTGTCTGTCTGTCTTCATTCTTCCGTGGCTTTCCTCAAGGTGGTGCCTAAGCACATCCCACATTATGAAGACTTTTGTCTCTTTTAGTTACCAAGTGTAGCAATACAATGGATGGCTTTTTGGCAGAGTGAGGAGAGCATTTGTAAGGAAAAAGTCCTCTGGGATCCAACTGATGAGCCAGGCACATGGAGACATTAAGGGGATCTGCTCTTGCTTACCTTCATGTGTCCATCATTATGTCCCAGTTCTGCCAAAAAGGCCCAACTTATTTAACCAATGCCATGTCTGTATTTCAGTACCAAACACACACACACATGCTCTGTCTGTTCAGGCAAAAGTGGCCAACTCTTTTCTAGTTCTTGTCCCCTGCCCTCACACACTTGTGATGGCATTCAGACATATAAATACATACATACACACATAATTTGGACCCAGGACCAGCACAAGCATGGCTATTTTCTGCCAGCCAGCTCTGTACCAGGGTGGCTCCTGACCTGAGCTTCGAAAGATGCATACCCCATTCATTTACCAGTGTCTAATGTGGATCTTGCTTAGAGCTTCAATTTTGCAATAGGCTAAGCTAAGTACCCAGTGGCTGCTGTGGAGAACAATGGGGAATGTACACACGCCCACGCCTGTACAGGAGACAATGAGAGCTGCTTTTGAAGATCTGGCACCACGTTTTCAAAGCTCAGCGGTGGGCAGAGAGCTCGCTCTTCCCCTTTCTTTTCAATCAAGATGTTTCTTTTGAAGATTTCCCCCCCCCCCGGTATTTTGGTCCGTTTCACCCCACGCAGTGTTATTCTATAGAAACTTTTCTTTAAAAGAGAGAGGCCCTTTTGCTTAATTCAATCAGGGTGGTGGAGATTGCACAGCTTTTGAGGTTGTTGGGTGAACTCGTATCTGACTGCACGCTTCAGCTTTTCTCTGCAATGTGATGCAGCTTGTCTCCCCGCAAGTGTGTTGCCTATTGATTGACTCAGTGGGTCTTTAAAACCACTACTATCATACAGTTAGTCCTAGGTTTGGAACAATACATGACTTCACAGCACCACCTTGCGTTTACTCTGCTATTTAGCTGTTCCATATGCTGCAACACTGCCTAGGTATAGACTCACCTGTTTAATTACAGGTAATAAGCATTACGGGGACAATTCAAAGCATGTTGAGATAGCAGTCTGAACTACCAGTTCCCCACCCACCATTGTATCTTTCTGCTAGTAAATCTTGACTACAGATATTACTGGGCTTGATGCCAGCAAGTGTCACAGATAGATTTCAGGAAGATGGAGAGGAATGCTTTTCAGGAGGCAGATTGATGTCACTTCATGTAAGTCCTATTTTTATTAAGTCATGGTGAAAATATTTGCATGGTACTACTCATTCATAGATCCCAAAATACTCTACAAAGGTTATGCCAGCATTGCTGTCTCCCATTTTAGAGATGGGAGATACTGGGCATGGCTACATGAGATGCTTTACTCAAGATTAGAGGAAATTACTGCACAGTAAGTGTTACCATCTACATGTGCAGACGCTTACTGCACAGTAATTTACTCTAATGGTGAGTAAATTTGCTAGCTGTAAATACAAACAGCAAATTATTCTCAATTAGTTACTGTGCCATACAGCACATGTAGATGGCTGACCGAGAGCAAACTTGCTCCCATTTAGCTGAGCAGCAGGGAGTGGGAGATTGCTTCCTGTTCCTGGAGGCTGCCTGCTGCTGGGGCATGCTCTGCCACTGGAGCCCAGGCAGGAGCAATGTCCTCGTGCTCCAGCAGCAGGGAGTTCCCAGCCCTGGCTTCCCAATTGCAGTTGTGGAGAAGGGGCTGAGAAGATTTTTCCTAGTTCCAGCTCCGTGATCATGGAGCTGTGGCTGGGAACAAACTCCCCAGTCTGTTCCCAGCCCCTGCTCTGTGCCCACAATCTCCCCAGCCCCCACCCCACAATTGCGGAGCAGAGGCTAGAAACTGTCTCAGTCAGGGTCAGGTCCCAACCCCATGCCCCGATCAAGTGATTGAGGCAGAGGGCTTGGAAACAGCTGTGGGGGAGGAGCAGGTCCCAGCCCCCCACCCCAATCTACTGGTGGGGCAGCTAGCAGTAAGTCCCTGGGTGGGCGGGGAATCCCCCACCAGTGGATCGGGGCAGGGGGTTGGGACCTGTCCCTCCCCTGCAGCTCTTTCCAAGCCCCCTGCCCCCAATTGGGGAGTCAGGGTCAGCAGCTCCCTGCTGCTGGGGCAGGGGGACATTGTCCACACCCAGGCTGTGGTGGCAGAGCCCGTCCTGGCAGTCCTGGCCCCGAGCTCTCTCCCAATCCCTATGCTGGCACCCATAGGGAGCCTAGAGCTCCCTCTGGCCGCTGCAGGAGGCTGGTACACAGCTGGAGGGGGCAGGAGCAGATTGCTGCCAGGAGCAGCAAATCTGCTTCTGCATCCCTGCACATGTAGATGCCTGCCCCAGGTGAGTATACTCTAGAGTAATTTTCTCTAAAATAAACCCACCCCGCAGTATTTGCACATGTTGTTTGCACTGAGGCACAGAGTTGTTTGTTCCAGAATACTCTGAGATGGGGCCAGATCCAAAGTTTTTAATTCCTCCAAGACCGTTTTAGGCTGGACATAAGGAAAAATTTCTTTACTGTCCGAGCCCCCAAGACCTGGAATAGACTCCCTCCAGAAGTGGTGCAGGCACCTACTCTGGACTCATTCAAGAAACGTTTGGATGCTTATCTTGCTGGGATCCTTTGACCCCCAGCTGGCTTCCTGCCCCTGGGGCAGCGAGCTGGACTTGATAATCTTTGAGGTCCCTTCCAGCCCTAAAGTCTATGAAAAAGTCCCCTTCCCTTTCGTGTCAGTGAACTCTGGATCAGGCCTCCAATTGCTTTGTAAGTTGAAAGGAAAGATGATGAGCTGCCCTATTCTGGCTGGAATGAGAGGTGCTGAAATGCTTGCAGTTGTTGCCTTTGAATCAACAGTGAACCACAAAAGAACCAACATTTTCAAGTGTCAAGCAGCAAAAGTCAGGGTTTCCCCTCATCTCTAACCTAGGAATGGCTCAGGGGATTCCTCTCACATGTAGAAACAAAATGGTTTTGGGGTGGGACCAAGCATAAGACATTTCAGAGGCATTTCAGCTCTAGAGGAGGGAACTCTGAGCCTGCAAAACAGGTCCGAAGGGAAACCAGAGCACCCCTGAACTCTAGTGTACGTTGCCCCCACATCTACATGAGAGAGCCTCTCTCCAGTGGATACTGTTATCACTGCAGGTGAAATACAGTCCAGTTGCACAAAGCCTGAGAACTCTGTGACTGGTGTGAACAGCAGCTGGGGAAGTGAAGTGACCCTGCTTCAGCCCAAGGCCAGGATGTGGTGAATTTGTGGGACAAAGGGGTTATGTCACTTGTTAGTAGTAGAGCCAGGAAGGGGACTTGGCAATCATGATTTCAAGCCTAAACATCAGTCAGCATTTTCTTTCTTTGCCTATGAATCAAACTGTGTATTTCTAACATCCTCACGGAGTTACAGGGTTTTTTGGGAGCTGTTTTTTGAGCTGTTGCTTTCAGGTTATTTTGTTCCTAAGGAGAACAGGAAAGAGGGCATTAAGCCCAGTGCCATAAATTAGTCTGATTTCCCAATCCAGATCCACCTGTTCTTATTTTACAGGAAATTCCCCCTCGGACGAGTCGGAGGAGCGGGAACGGGACCCCAAGGTTCTCACCTTCCCCGAGTACGTTGCCAGCCTGTCGGAGTCGGGCACCAAGCGCATGGCCGCCGGCGTCCGCATGGAGTGTCAAAGCAGAGGCCGCTGCCCCTCATCTTGCCCACTTTGCCACGTGACTGTGAGCCCAGACACACCGGCAGAGCCAATTTTGCTGGAGGTCACCAAAGCAGCACCTATCTATGAGCTGGTCACCAACAACCAAACCCAGCGGGTAGGGGCCCAGTTGCTGAGGGAGGGATAAACTAAAGAAGGATTGTTTATAGTAGGAGCATGGGGGCAAGAGGACTTCGTAGTTAATCCACTTGGGCCAAAGTTTAGATACCAAACCCCAGGGCCAGGCTCAACGATGCCAGCACTGAGGCATCTTGCCCTGTATCTTTGTGTTGCTGTTGTTTTGGGGGGGGTCTTGTCAGCTCTTGTACTTCTGAGTGCAAGCCCTGCATGGTTTGGTGCCTGTCTTAACATGGTTAACAACAAAGAGATGCTATGGCCCTGAAGGGATTAAGGGCAGGGGTTACAGACTGGCCACCTTGCCTCTTAGCCACTGGCCTAATCACTTACCGTGTTAACCCATGAGTAAGCCTGAAGGGGGTTTGGTATCTGACGAGTGGTCAGAAGTAGCTGAGATGCTTTCCTGGGACAGGAATCTTCCTTGCAGGGGGGTGTTCTCCCCTGCCAGGGGTGGAGGGATGCTGCTGCTCTGACATGCTGCTATCCTGCTATACTGAGTAGTACCACTGAAACTCGCTACCCATGGGGAAAGGTAATATGCCTGCTTACAGGGAGAAAGGTATCAGGCCTGTGGTTAGGTTCCTTCTGCAGACCCTAAACCCTTTCGGCTTCTGTCTTCACGTCTTTCTCTGCTGAGGTGTCCCAGAGCTCTCAGCTGGCTGGCAGTGTCTGCCTAGTGAGGGGAGGGGAGCATCCTGTGAGGAAGGCATTACAAGGGGTCCTATCTGAGCAGCACACTGGGTGGTGGGAGGTGGGAGTTCCTGCTTGCCTGGCTTTGACCCTCTTCTTTTCCCCCTCAGCTGTTGCAGGAGGCCACCATGAGCTCCCTCTGGTGCTCAGGGAGCGGGGATGTCATCGAGGACTGGTGTCGGTGTGACTCAAGCGCTTTTGGTGCTGATGGGCTCCCAACCTGCGCACCCCTCCCACATCCAGTGTATGTCTTCCATGCTCTGATTTGATCCCCATCCTTCCACCTTGCTCTGCAGAAGTGGTTGCTCTTTAAGGGGACAGCTGGTAAAGGGCCCTGATGTAAGGGACCATGGTGCTAGTCCAAGAAAGCGACAGCACTGAGAATGCAAGCTTTTCCTACACCACCCTGGGCGCATCTACATGTGTGATGGACTGCACGGTCATTTAGTACTTGCTTTACTAAACAGCTGTGCAGTAACCACCAGTATTGCACAGTCCCAATGTGGCACGGGTCATTTTCGATGCTACTGCTCAGTAGCATTGGCATCATAGTTCATGCTTGCCTATTCTAAGTTGCTGTATCAATGAGCTACATCGCTGTAGCTCATTGCTGTGACAATGTAGCATTTCATATACACATGCCCCCTGTTGATGGGCCTGAACCCTAATCTAGAGCAACTACTACTTGGCATAATGAGGAAGCTTTTTATGGCTCAGGTGCTGGGGGCTGCATTTCTCACTGTCGTGGAAACACACGCAGCATACTTTTGGGTCAGGTCAGCAGAAGCTTTTATTTAAAAGAAACTACAGCTGTAGGGGGGGATTCCAAAGTGACATGGATTTCCCAAGCACTTGGAAGGGGTCCCCCCCCCAAGAGCAAAATTAGGAGGCTTATATACTTTTTAACAGTTGCTTACAACTCATGTGATCATATAGTGAAATTAGCATGAAAAGCGGCTATAATATTACTTCATTATTTCTTTGCTGTAATCAGGATGGGAACTAATGGGGGAGGCGAGGTTAGTTCACAAACCTCCTTCTTGCACCTGGAAATCAGATTTGTACCTACTTTTTTGCTATCTTCAAGGCCGCGGTGAGCGAAGCAGTTGCAGAGGAGTTACAAAGAACAAACACTTTCTCTTATCTGTTCTACTATACAGAGCCAGCAATTCTCCACAAAGCGGTTATGTCATCTTATAACTAAAATAATCAAAGTTTAAGGCATATATTTTTTCTGATTCCACACTCACCTAGGGTTGGGTCATCCCAGAAAACTGTGGAGTTAGGAAGTTTTTACAGAGGGCAGTTATGCAGGATTCAGGGTGACATCTCAGCTTGCCTCAATTATAGCAGTACAGAATGTGGGAGTCAGTGCTGACAGCTTCTGTGGTCTCTTGTTATCATTGTAAAGGTGATAGGGCAGCTCCTGAGGAAACTCCCACTTCTGGATAAACTTACAGGCTGGATGGGGTGGGAGTATGCAGAGCACAAGGCTTTTGTAGGTCACTTTTAGCCCCACCTTCTGCCTTCAGTGCAGGGGCTTGAGTGGCACCCTGCAGTATGAAGCTCTGATCCACAGTTTCAAATGCAGCCCATCTTGGGTACCACAGGGCATGTCTTCACAGTAAAACTGAGGTGTGATTGTAGCACATGCTAGCATGCCCTAGTGACCTTGATTTAGCTAGTGGAATAGTTATAGCAGTGAAGACATGGCAGCATGGGCTTTAAGTCATGCTACTAGCAACCAGGGTATATACCACAGGATCCCTGGGTAGTTTGCTGTCTGGCTGCTCACGTGAGCCATTGGCCATTGCACCATGTCTCCAATGCTGTTGATACCTATGTGAGCTAGATTGAGCTAGCGCAGACTACAACCACATCCTAAGGGAGCAGTGACTGGGACTGTGGTATATGCTGAAGAGGTGTGAGAAAAGAGGAACGTGGGTGCCAGAGGTGGACAGGAGCTGCTGTTTAAAGAGCTTGACCTGTCATGTTTCCCCACTCCCTTCCAGCCTGAGGCTCTCCACAGTGCATGAACCCAGCAGCACATTGGTGGTGCTAGAATGGGAACACTCAGAGCCACCGATTGGAGTGCAGATTGTTGATTACCTCATCCGCCAGGAGAAGGTCACCGACAGGATGGATCACTCCAAAGTAGAGACCGGTGAGTACAGGTCAGAGGGGCTCTGGTCCTTCAGCAGCCGGTACTGGGCTTTACCCTTCTCAGAAGCAAGGAGAGGCTAAACCTCCTAGAAACCAATATGCTATTTTCCTGTTGCTTGAGGAAGACCTTTGCCATGTCAAGTCTGCATTTTACAGTGTGGTCTAGGCAGCAAAGGCTGCAACTGGGAGCAGGTGAATGCAGTGGCAAGCATTAGTGAAGCTATTTAGCACTTGCTTAACTTGAAACCTACAAGTAATTCCAATGAAGCCAGTAGCTAGACTCTGGCAGGAGTGTCCTCTATGTAGCTACCAGCTTCAGTTGGACTGGTTGTGGGCTTACAGTTAAGCAGGCAGATACTGAAGGGCTTTGCTGGGTCAGGGCTACAAGTCCCTTTTTTCATTTGTTTATATGACTTCCCATTTTCCTTTTGGCCTGAAATCTGCAATGCTTGAATGGTTTTGGAAAGTTGGAGGAAAATCCGTTCTGCCAGTTGAGCAACATGACACTGGAAAAATAGCCATTCCTGTCTCCCCTTAGTAGCAAAGTCACCACTGCTTTCCTCTTATCACCCATCAAACTTAGGTACCTGAAACTTGGCATGTTTATAGGCCACCCTGATTCATCTGTGAGCCTACTCAAAATGGGAAGGAGAGATAGGTGGTTGTGAACGGGTCCGTGTCCCCCAGCGCCCCCACTTCTGATGATGAAGACTCAGTTGTCCTACAGCTCTGGGTGTTTCTTCTCCTGCAGTAGGCCCAATAAAAACAGGTTTTCCTTTATCTGGAAGACTGCCACAGAACTCGCACCTTCCCCTTAGTGGCTTCTAACACAGAAATTCACCTCAGAACTTATGTTGCAGCTCAGGGTCATCGTGAGGCAGGAGGAGGGAGCAGCGTAAGCAGTTTTCTTACCCTTCCCCAGCTCATTTAGCATATTCTCACTTCACTTCCCCTCCATAGTTCCCAAATTGCTAATGTTGCATGGCAGGGAATTTAAGATGCACCAGTCCAAATTGGCCACAGTCAGCTTGTTAAGAGAGCATCGTCTCTTCAGCCCTGCTCCTGACCTTCTGGCTGAAGGCAGTGGTGGGAGCCTTGCTGCCTTTGCTCATTGCAGCTGGTGCTACTTAGTTCAGGAATATTCAAATCCTTCTGAGGTATTGGGCTCACTGGTCTGTCTTGTAGCTTGAGGTAAAACTCAAGCAGAAATTTGCTATTAATCCTTCGGATCCCTCTCCCATTCTCCTTGCTCAGCTCTGTACAGTTGGGATGGGATGGGAATGCAATTACTCTTTCTTCTTCCTTTCTTCTTCCCCTAGAGACGGTGCTGAGTTTTGTGGATGACATCATCTCTGGAGCCAAGTCCCCCTGTGCAATGCCAGCACAAGTGCCTGACAAGCTGTCTTCTACCATCTCCTTGATTATTCGCTGCCTGGAGCCTGACACCACTTACATGTGAGTTACACTCTGTCCAGCTGGCTATTTCCAACCTTGCACTGGTTGCCTCTGATTTGTGACTTCTAGCTTTTCTCCTAATTGTTTGGGGGGGGCGGGGTATGGAAAGCAGGTATGTTCATTCTCTGCCATTTCATAAGGCATGACCCCTCTCCTGGTTGGTGACTGTATCTGTGTGGCATGAGGGAATCCTGCTCCTGATACTGCTGGGCTTTTGCCTTGCCCACCCATGTGAGAGATGTCATGGCCATCAGGGTAGGGTTCACTTTGCTTTGTACAAGGTAAGGCTGGGGAGATCTGCATTCCCATCCTTTTTTTTTTACACCTGGATGATCTCTTCCAGCTTTATCTTATGTGATCTGACTGGACTCATGCTGTAACTTCCCTCCCCCCACACAAGCAGAGTCAAGTTATTCTTTCTGGTAAGCCAGCACTCTGCACCATGCACCCAGGCTCTTCTGAACTGGCCGTGCTACCAGTGCAGCAAGTGTCAGCCACTTAAGACACCTGCTTGAGCTAGGTGAAGTAACTAGACTCAGTAGGGATACCAAGTAGCTGGGTTTGGCATGTGCCTTCTGACTAGTTTCTTACATCCTGTTGGGCCTGCACTGCAAGGGAGCACACATCAGCTTGGGGAAGCCTGCATCCCTAAGAGAGAAATGCCTCATGTTTTAGCATGGCCTCTTGTTTGCCTAAGTGGTGGTAGTTGTACACATTTCTCCAGATGGGCATCTGCTGTAGGCAGGCATGTGTATGTGCATGTGAAAGTCCAGTCTGCTTGCTTGCTCTGAGATGTGATGATATCTTCGTCTCTGCCTCTCCCACCAGGTTCACACTTTGGGGAGTTGATAACACAGGGAGACGTTCAAGGTCAAGTGATGTGACAGTCAAGACCCCATGCCCCGTGGTAGATGATGTGAAGGCTCAAGGTAATGGTAAAGATACTGCAGGGGTGGGCAAAATACGGCCTGCGGGCTGGGTCTGGCCCACAAGGCCATTCTATCTGGCCTGCGGGACCCCTAAAAAAAATGTAGAAAATTAATATTTCTCTGCCCTTGGTTCCTGTCAAATGCGGGGGGGAGCGGCCCCTCCCCGCCCACGCCTGGTGCCCTGCGCTGCAGCTGCTTGCAGCCCGCATGGGGCTGCCTGTACCCCCTCCCCACAGCCCCCTGTGGGCTGTGAGCGCCTGCAGCAGGGAGCTCCGGCCATGGGGCGGGGGAGGGGCCACTTTTCCCCACGCTCAGCACAAGCTTCCCTGCTGGTGAGCAGGGGGTTGGGGCTGAGCGCTGCCCCCCACCTGTACCGCAGGGCTGGGGAGCACTGGGAGTGAGTGGGCAGGGAGCCAGCGGGAGCACGGGGCCCACACCGGTGTCCCGAGCCCAGCGCCAGTGGAGCCCGGAGCAGGGTGGCAGGAGCACGGGGTCCCAGCTGGCAGGGGCTCTGTGGAGCTGGGCCAGCTCCTCCCTCCCTGCTAATGCAGGCCAGCCCGGCTCCACAGACCCTTGGCGGCCTGCGCCTTGCTCTGGGCCCCACTGGTGCTGGCCCTGGGACACTGGTCCCAAGATGGTGATCGGGGGGGGGGCCCCTGTCAAGGGACAGGGCACCTGTCAAGGAGTGGGGCTACCCATGCGGCCCTTGACAGCCTGCCAAAACTGGGTAAGCGGCCCTCCGCCCAAAATAATTGCCCGCCTCTGATATACTGGCTATCCCTTATAGCACAACCCAGGCCAGAGATGCCTTCTCTTAGCACCATGGGACTGTAGGGTAGACTACAGTCACTGCACTCAATATCATCTAGAGTAAGTTACATCTATGCCCTTGCTTTTTGGGCTAGTTGTAGAGAAATGCCAAAACAAAAGCCCTGGGTTTGAACAGCCCTTAAGCTGGGTAGAATCCAGGACCAGGTCCAAGTTGGTTCCACGTGCATGATGGGCAAAACTGAAGCAGAACCCACCTCTCTCCCACATTGAATATTGGCTATGTTTGCATCTAGAGTCAAACCTTTTGGCAGAGACATGGGTTTGATTCCTGGACACACATATAACTATAGCCATTGAGGCACCAAACATCTGAACTTGGTCTGGCTTTTGGACTCTGTCTCAGCGGTCTAAAAGAGGGATGCAAGTTCTGGGCAGGTTCCACTCTTCCATACTCCTGCCTACGTGTATGTGTCAAAGGTCCTGGTCACCTCTCACACGTGCACCATGATGCAGAAAGATCGACGGTTGCCTACTACTACAATGAATCACCACCTTGGGGCTCTGGTGACTGTTTTCTTATGGATTATGACATATGTGGTTAAATCTTGGCAGAATTACAATCTGAGGTTGCCTGGCTGTTCCTCCATTATGCTTACTGAGACAGAGGCTGTTGTAATCATCTTGGTTCAGCTAGACTGAGCCTTCAGAAAGGCAGCAGGGGTCAAATATGCTTGCCATTTAGGAGGTAGAATATATGTATTTGTTTAAACATCCCCTCCAGGGTGGTTGGGAATGAGATGCATTATTCTAAGTGGCAATGAGAATTAATCTCAAACCATACCAAGGCCACATTGACAGTATAGCACCACCTCTGCTCGTATTAGACAGCATCCCAAAGGGTATGACTGGTATATGAGTACTAAAAGTATCTGCAGTAAAAAAATCCAGAGCACACAAGCTTCAAATGTACTAGGATTGCTGCAGTTTTGGAGGCATAAACCAATCTCTGAGTGTTGGGAGTCAGGAGACAGGGTTCTTACACTGTCCTTCAAAGATCTGGTTCTGGTAGTTGTCAGAGATGAGAAACTGGATGAGACTGACCACAGGCCTTATCCAGTCTGGGAAGTCTGTTCCCTTGTTCCTCTGTTAGGATGCATTCTGTTGATACAGTGCAAACTACAAGACAGTGGGTGGATTCCTGCTCCTTCATATTGACGGAAATTTTGTCATTGACTGTAGCCAGGCCAGGATTTTGCCCAAGGGGCTTTCCTTAAAAGCTGAGATGCTTGATGGTGCATTTCCTTCTTCTATATTAAGCACATTGAGGGCCCTTTCCATCTTTTTATCCAGAAATAGCAGACAAGATCTACAATCTTTTCAATGGCTACACCAGTGGTAAAGAGCAACAAACAGCTTACAACACCCTGCTGGACCTGGGTTCACCCAGCCTGCACCGGGTCCTCTACCATTACAACCAGCATTATGAGAGCTTTGGAGAGTTCACCTGGCGATGTGAAGATGAGCTAGGACCCAGGTAAGCCAGTAAGCCATGTTACTTAGAACAGCAGTTCCACTTCACTCAATACACATGTTAGAATGCCCCACATCACTAGTTATCAGTAAGAAGGTTAAATCTGGCAAATGGACAAGATCAGCAGAAACCGATCTTGACTGTAGACAAGCCATCAGCTGGAATTCCACCATCTTTCCCCAATCTGCCTTCAGTTTATCTTTGTAGATTGACTTGGCTATTTTCACATGATGAAGAAACAGAAGGGATGGGAGGAAAAGACAGCCAAGGGACCCTCTTTTCCACTCATATTGTGGCAACGGTTGCTGCCAGGGGAAAACAGAACATCCTGAAAAAATAAATGCTGAAGATTTCCTGAACTAATTCAGAGGAGACTGTTCCAGATGTGAGGGGAATGGAATGTGTCTGGGAGGCTGTTCCAAAAGGCCTGAGTAGTGGGCAGTACAGTATGGAGTACGGTGGGAGGGGAGCAAGAAAGGGCAATTAAAGCAACTTCAAGATGGC